AGTTAGTTCATCGGTCACAAATTAAAAATTTAAAAGTTACAATTTGTTCATCGATCACAAATCACGAAATTTTAAATCACACAACTTTTATTTTATAGTCACAACATCAAATAATATGTCACAAATTACTTTTATTGGTCACAAATTAACAAATTTGTAGGTCACGGTATTTATTGATCACAATTTATTCTTTATTTGTCACACTTCAACCAATTTATTGGTCACAATCAACAAATCATTTGTGACCACCACCAACAAAACACCAACGTCGTCTCCGCCGTGAACACCAACAACCACCATAGAAAACATACCAAAACCACTGTCTTCTCCGCCGCCAACGCCAACACCACATAAAAGTGCAACATCGCGCCACAACACCACCACAGAAACGCACCACCACCGCCCGCCAACACTACCATTACCACCACTTCCCAACAACAAAATCAACACCAACGACAACACTAACAATACACCATCCCCACAACCTCACCAAAACCGTCGTCGATTTGCCATAGCCACCAACAATCGCGACGCTGCGATCGCACTAGAACCACCACCATCGCCGCCCGCACCACCAAAAAAATCGCCGTCGTAACACCACCACCACAACAAAAAACCCAACGCCTGCGCTACCACAACTACCAAAACGTAGCTGTGTCGAAAAGAGAGAAAAGAAAAAAGGCAGATCGAAAACACAAACCCTAATTACTCAGCATCTTCGCCGTTCTCAACCATCAACATTGCGATTTTGGGATCAATTTCACCAACAATCTCTTTCCAGTGGGCAGCGCTGCAATCACCGCCACATACATCATCACGATTTTTTGATGTCACTCGCCGGAGAGTCTCTTCTAGGGGGCAGCTCTACTACCACCACCACAGACATCCACTGCTCTACCGAGTAGCAACACAAGTCATGGGAAACGAAATTGGGCAAGCCGACAGTTTCGGCCGGTGGGTAGAGAGAAAGGAGGATAAAGTGAGAAGATAGAGAGAGATAATAGAATAGAAATGAATTAGGGTTTAATTTATAATATTTAAATATGAATTATTAATTAAAATCTGATTTCTGTATTATTAAATTTGATTCTTGATTTATGAAAATGGAAATTTAAAACCCATTCTACTTGTAATTTCCTCATTAGAAAGGGAACAATACATAAATTAAGGTATTTAAGTATCACCATTTCAAAATTAAGGATAGAGGTTTTAAATTTCAAAAATCAGGTTTTCATTAAAATTTATTTATAATTTAATTAATTAATTATATATTTTATTAATAAATATATAAATGTCACAAATCTATGCAATTTGATCACAATTCAANTTATTAGTCACATATTATTTTTCAGTCACAAATCAGAATTTTTACGTCACAAATTATTTTACAATCACAATTCAAAAAATTTATATGTCACAGTTTGTTCATCGATCACAAATTAAAAATTTAAAAGTCACAATTTATTTATCGATCACAAATCTATCAAATTAATAAGTCACATTATTTTTTAGATCACATATTATTTATTAGTCAAAAAATATCCAATTCATTGGTCACAATATCAATTGTTCGGTCACAAATCACAAATGTTAAAGTCACAATTCAAATATTTAGGTCACATATTATTTATTGGTCACAAAATATACAATTTATTGGTCACAATCTCAAATAATTGATCACAATCAACCAAATAATCTGTGACCACCACCAATGCTTGCGACAATCACATCGCCACTGCCTTTGGCGGTAGCACCACCATCGTCGCCGCCCAATAGCAACATCACCATCTCAAACAAACCAACACCACAACCTCCCAGTACCACTGTCAAGCGCCACTATCACCACCGATCCCGATTCACCACCAATATTTCGTCACAAATCAACAAAATGATTGGTCACAAACACTATCACACCGCAGCCACTACCACAACACCACCACCACTAGATCCAATACACTCCCACCAAAAATCATCACAACCACCCCTGCCATAGCCGCCACCACCACCATTTTTGCAACGACACCACCACAACACCATACCTAACCACCAATCACCGCACCACCGCCACGACCAGCAACATAGATACAGACATAGCCCTAACAACCCACCACTACCAGCCACCCAAACACCACCAAAAAATCAGATTCAAAATTATCAATTACCTTCCACCACCACCACCAACATCACACCACCTCTGCCTTCTCCATTTTCTCACCCATATCTCGAACCATAGCCCAAAATTAGATCCAAAACCAGAACGCAGCCAACATCACCACCACATCTACATCACCGCTTACATCACCCATCACCACCACCAACTAAAAACACTGTCAACAAAATCATTGCACAACCTGATCCAAATCAGATTGCATCAACTGCAGTAGCAACGACATCCACATCATCAGATAAATCCAAAACGAGATCCAATCGACTGCAACGCAACGTATCCGCATCATCTCTGAAATCGTATGCCGGATGCCGCTGCGGTAGCGATGGCGAGAGCCGCTCTCGTCGCCTATTACTCCAGAGTGACACCGTCGTGGGCGCCTCTTCAGGTAGATGCTCCGGAATAGAGGATAGAGAAGAGATGGTATAGAGAGATAAAGAAGAAATGGGGGAATAATTTGGGATTGTGAGTGAAATTGGGTAGGGTAAATACGTAGAATAATTTATTTATTTTAATAATATGATTAATATTTAAAATTTAAATATTAAAATAAAATATAATGTACATTAATTATTTCTACTAATGTTATCTCACATTCCCCATCCTATCACCTCACTACACCACATTCCCTCTACCTCTCCACCGGAGACAGCCATCAGCTCTAACGGCCGCTTCGATGATTGTTCCGACATCATTCAAGTGACTGTTCTGGCTGTTGCTCTGTCAACTTAAAAATTTTCAGAAAATTAAAAATTGGAAATCATACCCCCCCCCATAGATCCAACTACCACCATCCCCATTCGCTGACACGTGTCATCCGTGACTAATTGTGATCATGTTTGTATTCAATGTGACCAACTGTGACCAAATTTATGTTCAGTGTGACTGTCTGTGACTATGTCAATCTCAAGTCACAATCGGTCACAATCAACGCAAAATTGGTCACAATCAAACACATACATGATGACATAGGGTCAAGGCCAGGCCTGAGGAGACGCCCAAGAGGCCTCCGCCTCAAGCCTTTTTTTTTAACTTAACCTAAACGGCTAAACCTTCCCCATTTCAATTTTCAACACAACTCTTCAGAGGCTTCTGTCTTCACTTCCGACTTCTGACTTCCGAGTTCCGTTCGGCATTCGCGTTTCCTCCACCAGGTATTTCATCCCCTTTTGGTCATTAGTGCTACCTGCTTAGTGCTTATTTAATTATTTGTAAATTATAATGGAATCTCTTATCTCTCACTCTCAAACTCCCATAGAGCATTTCTGTCTTTTTTCTCCTTGGGTGTGTTATGGTATTTTTAATGAAAAGTTCAATAGTTTTAGTGTTTTACCTGTTGTCTTTTTATGTGGTAGAAGTAGAAACTATATTCTCTAATACTAAGCATTTTCAGGGGTTTATTTTCTCATCTCATGTCTTTTTTTTAATTATTGCTTGTGCTTTGAAGTTTTAATTAAGCTTGATGGCGTTAACAGCCTCTAAACTCTTCCTTCATCTTTTTCTCTTTTTGGTTTCCTGTCTTCAATAAATCATTACAAAGTTGTTAACATCAAGATTTATGATTTTGCAGTATTGACATTGTGTATTCAAGTGAAACCTGTGCTGATGCATGGATTGAGAAAGAGGTGAAAATGATAATCATAATTTTTTTTGAAGAAGTCCAAATACAAGATTTGCTTTCTTAGAATAAGCTATGTTGGGTGATTAGTTATCTGGTGTCGCTCAGAGTATGTTACATTCAACTCCATTTGTTTATGAGGACGGTTAATACTTCTATGAGCAATCTTTCAATTGTCTGATTTAAGTTCACTTTGTAATAGTAGTCTTCTAGTTTTTGTGCTATTCTATGTCACTTATAGTAATTAAACTTTGCTTTTTTCACCTTTCATTGACCGTTAGATATTGAGTGATTTGAGTCAAATACCATGGCTCCTAATTATGTATCTGGAGCTCAAAAAAGGAAGAAGAGAGAGATAGAGAGAGAGTAGATGCATTAATTCGAAGTCAAACTGGAGATATGGATAAGTATTTTAATGGCAAGAAAAGCAAAGAAAATGAAGGTTTTGAGGAACAATAGAATCAGAATGATAATGATAATGTGGATGGACAGAAAGAGAACGAGGAAATGATTGAAACTGCCAATGTGGATGAACCAAAGCAGAATGATGAAAATAATGTTCAAGATGAAGATTTAAATCAAACAAATTGCTTTACTTTGAATTTTGAGGATCCTGAAAATTGGAAAGACGTTCATATTGATCAAAGGACAAGGGATTTTTTAGTTGAAATTGGTCCAAAAAGAGTCGATGATATATTGTTTCCCAAAGATAATCAAGGTAGACATTTTGAATCATCACAATATAAGTGAGTACTTGCAAATGGGCAAAAACCTGATAGAAGATGGTTAGTGTATTCGATTTCTTTAGATAAAATCTTTTGTTTTTGCAGTAAGTTGTTTAAGACAAAAAAAAAATGATGAAAAATATTGATCAATTAGGTAATGACGGATACAAAGATTGGCATAATGTACATAGACGCCTTACAAATCATGAAGTGTCTAAGGAGCATATAAGTTGCATGACTGATTGGATGGAATTGGAAAATAGGTTTCAAACAAAACATGCAATTGATGAAAGCATACAATTGGCCATCAACAAAGAAAGAGAGCATTGGAAACAAGTGTTGACGAGGATAATTGCTATTGTGAAAAGGCTCGCTAAAAATGCTTTGGCATTTCGAGGAGATTATGGGCAGCTTTATGTTGAGAGCAATGGACTTTTTTTGCAAATAATATAAATGGTTGCTGAGTTTGATCCAATAATGAAAGAACACATTCGACGTGCTCAATCACGTGAGATCAGTATACATATCTTGGTCCTAAAATTTAAAATGAATTGATACGAACTTTGGTAGGCGAGGTCAAAAGTGCAATTATCACAAAAGTGAAACATGAAAAATATTTTTCGGTCATACTTGATTGTACTCCAGATGCGAGTAATAATGAGCAAATGTATCTAGTAATACGATGCGTGGACGATTCAACAGACTCGTCTATGGTACAAGAATATTGGATTGAATTTTTGAATTTGGATGATACATCAGGACTTGGACTTTTCACTGAGCTTAAAAATGTGTTAACGAATCTTGAGCTTGATATTGATAATATAAGAGATCAAGGGTATGACAATGGAGCTAACATGAGCGGGAGACATAGAGGTGTACAAAAAAGGTTACTTGAAATTAATCCTAGAGCTTTCTATACTCCATGTGATTGTCATAGCCTTAATCTAGCAATATGTGATATGGCAAATTGTTGTTCTAAAGCTATGTCCTTCTTTGGAGTGATACAACGTATCTACACAGTTTTCTCTTCTTCTCCCAAATGATGGAAAATTTTTAAAGATAATGTTGAAGGTCGACACTTAAGCCATTGTCACAAGCACGTTGGGAAAGTCATATGGAAGTGTTAAGCCAATAAAGGAGTAATGTGTACGAATAAGAGACGCTTTACTTGACTTGGCAAACATTGTTGAAGATGCTAAAATGAAGAGTGAAGCTGAATCCTTAGCAACATATGAACTTGAGAATTTTGAGTTCTTGCTTGGCATGGTCATTTGTATACTATTAATACTGAGTAAATTTTTTCAAGCCGAAAACATGGATATTGATGAAGCCATCAAGCTTTTAGATCCGCTTATTTTGTTTCTCGAAAATTATAGAGAATCTGGATTTGCTAGTGCCATGGATAACGCTAAACAAATGGCAACTAAAATGGGAATTGAAACTGTTTTTCGAGAGAAACGCAACATTAGAAGAAAGATGCATTTCGATGAAAGTGGTAGTGAAGAGGTAACACAATCAGTTGAAGAATCTTTTAGTGTTGATTATTTTCTCTTCATAATTGATCAAGCTCGATTTTCATTTCAAACTCGCTTTGAACAATTTAAACATTATGAAGAGACATTTGGATTTTTGTTTAATTTGGAGAGGTTAAGGAGTATGCATGCTGACATTTTGCTGAAATCTTGTATGAATCTTGAGTAGTACTTGAATCATAATAGACATTCAGACATTATTGGTAATGACTTATATACGGAGTTGATAGTTTTGAAGTGCTATTTACCAAGAGAAACAAAAAGAGCTATTGATGTGCTAAATTACTTGAAGAAAATGAATGGTTGTTTTCCAAATGCTAGCATTGCTTACAAAATTTTGCTCACTATATCAGTTACAGTTGCATCAACAGAAAGAAGTTTCTCCAAATTGAAATTGATCAAGACTTATCTCCGTTCAACTATGTCGCAGCAAAGAATGAATGAATTGACCATGTTATCCATTGAAAAAGAAATGGTTGAACAACTTGACTATACAAAAAATTGATTGATATTTTTGCCTCAAAAACTGCAAGACGAGTTATATTTAAGTGATCGGTTGGAACATCTTCGTATTGTTATTTCATTGCAAAATAAATATTTTTAATATTTTATTTTTATTTGTTGCTTTATTTTTGAATTTAAGTTAACAAATTTAGTTCCGTAAGACTTTTTTTATAAAAAAAAAAAAAGTGGATTGTCTGCTATGACTTAGGGGCCCAAATTTTGAAGTTCGCTTCAGGCCCCGCGAAACACAGGTACGACCCTGCATAGGGTCACCACAAATAACCAAAGGCATCAAATGAAACTACACCTTTTGTACCGTCATTGCTTCCTACAACCCAAGCCGTACCTTCTCCAAATCCAAAATGAAATGGATATCAGGCTGCACCCTACTTAACATCATAGAAGAGCTTACCTACACCACCAGCATTTTTCATGAACAAGAGGAGCTCTCCACAACCGCTTCCAAATGCACCACACACATATCACCACCACTACCCATCATCACCACCTTCGATCACCTCCACCACAACCACCCCCACAATACACACAGATCGATGTCGTTTCCATACACAGATTTACACACATACACATTAAAAAATCAGATGTACAGATTCCCAAAATTTGAAAAAAAAAATATATTAATTTTGCAACAAAGATTCTTACAGAAATGGCAAATGAATCACTAATTGAAAATTCTTCATATACATAAGTGTAATCAATTCTTACCTAAAATGGCAAATGAGTCACCAATTACTTCTATGATATTAAAAATTCCAATACCCACTCTACACGATTTATGATATAAAAAATTCTTCAACACACATAAAGACGACAGTATATAGAAGCAAGTGGGCGTTTTCCGATGGATACCTCACTGGGGACGACGAGTGGAAGTTGTAGAGAGAATGAGTTGTTTGTATGTTAGAGAGAGAGAGTTTTGTTGTAGAGAGATATTATCTTTTGGAGAGAGATTAAGTAGATTAATGTAATTTAATAAACATGTATTAATTAATTTGATAAATCTTAATTATCATCTGATTTATGAATTTAAAACTACACCATTTTCTGAATAGTATATTTTATATGTAGGGTTTTGAGTAATTTTTCCATAAAAAATTAATACACATAACATGATCATACGGTTGACGATGACGATATTTCTGAGTTTTCATGCTCACTCTTTTTAGTCGAGCATATCAAACATCCATTATACACGTAATTTGAGATTTTCTTGACATTCTTGGACATTTAGTGTGATGATGATTTGTGTCATCGACTCATTTATCTAATTTGATAAAGTCATATGACATTGAATTATTAATTAAGAGTTACACATGTTATCGCCCATTGATTCGAGATGTGCAATATAATATCGTATTGAACAGTATATATACATTATTTTAACTTATTTATCTTATTTAAAATTGTTGAGTACCATCTAATTCACCTTTTAAAAAAATTCCAACACAAAGAATTCGTAAAATCTAAAATGTCATAAATTCCTTGATTTTTCATTCGTAAGCACAAGAATGAATTTATAATCTTCCATTTCCGATAATTGAATTTACATCGAATTCTCCAACAAAATTTCAAATTTCATTCAGCCATAACTTTGATACATTTGGAGCGTACTTATTGACAACTCTTGAGGACCAATCTACTATTAGAGACTTCACTCGAATCCAATCTTCATAGTTCAAGCACGACGACTGTCCAACACGAAAAAAAAAAGAGTAATGTTATTCATAGTCACTCACTGCAGCAGTCGTCATATGTGGCACACACATGACATAGTTATTTGATACATTAATGTGGTAGTTTTTTTATCACATTAATGCATTAAATACACACTTGACATGTGTGTGATATATAGAGCGACTGCTAAAAAAATGTTCACGACGTAAATAGTCTGATAGAGCAGTATATCGAAGCATAAATAAAGATGATGAGAAGGACTAGATCTTACATTCAGAATCCGTCGTGATCCAGTTTCCAGTTGTACTAGCACACTGATCTCTAGCATGTAGAGGAGTAGAGTTCACTGAAGGAGCATTCTTGATTTGTTCATGATTTAGAGATGAAGCCAGTGAAATGGTAGAACAACTCTCTACATCCCATCTAAAACTAATCTTTGGGGAGTCATTGCGAAATTGGCTGTCATCCGGTACGGCCTTTAAGGTGGATCTATTTCGAAACTGCAAGACCTGAAATCACAACATTTTAACATAGAAATGTTAACACTATTAACTCCGGGTTATATACACTAGAGACGAGGTCGGGTCTGTAGCTCAGAATTAGAGTACGTGGATCTCACCTTTCTACCAATGTACTTTCCTCCCTTCTCGGACTTGGCAGCAGCAGCAGCCCATCTCATTAGCTCTTTCATCCGGGATACGGCTCTGCTTTTATCTCCCTTGGCTCTATCTTTCTTTTCTACATTATGGCTTTGATCATTGTTGTTTACGGATAACGATTGTGCCGATTCAGTAATTGGCAAAACCTTATTTCCTGCAAGAGCAGTTGGATCTTGCTTGTGAGTAATGCCTAATTCATCAACAATATCTTCTCTTTTCATCTTCATTGAATAAACTGGAAGTTTGCCTCCTTAATGTAAAAGCAAGAAACTAATATAGTACGTGAAAAATATATGAATTCAACAATGTATGACGAAGACGAAGACGTCTCTTGGAGGTGCATGTGCTAATTTGAAGAGCCATTGGAGGATCTTATATACAAATGAGCTAAGAGATTTGTCAACCTTGAATTGTTTGATAGAAAAAAATAGAAAGCTAGCTCACTTGCATGTTAGGGTTGATATTTTTATTGGTTCAGAATATAAAGTGTGAAGAGAAAATGTGGGAAAATATTAGTCAAATTGGACAGCAAAAATGAAATCTATATGTGCTGTCTGTATTTCCCAAATATTCTCTGTGTTTTGAGTATTTCTGTATTCAATATAGGGCTATGTGCAGATGAAGACAAGGATAAGTGAATTTAAGCATATGGGAAGACAACTGGGCAGTTAGTGGGGGCTGGTTGGCTTGTGATTCTAAGGACAAATGGATTTATTATATAAGTTGATCATGTGGTCTACGTCAAACCCAAGTTTGAGCCACATTTTTAGAATGAATTTTGTAAAAAATAATTTTTTTTAAAAAGAAATGAATGATTGAAACGTAGAGAAATTTTTGAATTTGTAATTATTGAAAAAATGTGTGATTGAAAATTTATTTTAAATAATAGGAATCAACCATGGCTCAATTATTATAAATGGCTTTTGATCGAGTGTGATCAAATGGCATTTCATCAAAAAGTCAAAATTAAACAAGTTGATTAATCATGTATGCAGATACTTCGTTCAACAAGTTTGTCCTCTAACAATATAGAAGTGGTAATTTGGTTCTCCAACTATTTAGTAGGAGCAAGTTGCTCCTCAAACTATGAAGCAAGCGCTACTTTTGTCCTCCAACTATTAACTAGGAGGAGCATCTTGGTCCTCAATTATGATGAAAGAGCAAGTTCATCCTCTAGAGGTGGTAATCCCTACTATCTTAAAAGAGGCAACTCACCATTTACTGTTCATTTGTGAAGCATTTTTTATTCCCATCTTATCTATAACCATCCTCCACTATCCATCCACGCATCATTAAAACTAAAGGGTACCATGGACTTCTTCTTACCCATAATTGTTGACTGGGGAAAGAAAAAAACTGAGACAACCATAATTGTTGACTCTTCTTCTGTATCTCAAAAATAAAGGAGAAAAAAAAAACGGAAGCAACCATTGAATTTTATTCCTGCTTTTCCATCTTATCCATACTGATTCTCCACTATTCATCCAATCTTCAAGTTTGAATCTCTACTTGCTTCTGGAAGACGATAAAGACGACACGGCAACTTGTTTCACAAGTTCTTTGTTTCAGACCACAACATCAATTTCATCTTCACTAGCAATTCACGAAGGTTACAATTCAATACTAAATCGTAATCTTGCCATTTTCGAATTCCCCAACGCAAACATACAACGACTACGGGGATTTTGTACAAAAATCCTGAAATCTATGTTCTAGTCAAGAAATCAATTCAAACCGAAACCTGAGAGAAAAGCTACAGTTCCCTCATTTGAGCTTCACTGGAATTTTCCAAGGCTGCAAACCTTTTTCAGATGTCTTGATATATTCTCAAACGAAATCCAAAATAAATTTCCTTTGAAACATATATTATACGTAAGCTTCAGTATCTTGTCAATTTCATTTATTTCTATTAGTTTTTTACATATTGTATATACTTAGGTTAATATATTTTGTAGGAACTTAGTTCCACTCAAGAACAAACTTATATGTGCTAATAACGTTCAATTTATGTTGGTTACTTTCAGACTCAACTATTCCATAGGTTCCATAGGTTAGCATATTCTTCTAATGGATCATCTGAATACATGTTCAGGTGGAGTTACTAGTTCTTTAAACTTCGAAACAATATTCCATCACCAACAACAAAACCAAAGGCAAAGGGATCGTCAAAATCAACTTCTAATTGGACGTATTGATCATCGAAAAAAGTAGCTGATTATATGTCATCCGGAAATAATGATTCCAATCCTTTGCAAATGCAACAGTCTACAATGAATCATGATTTTGATGATTTTAAGGCTTTTACTTCAAACTAAGAGGTGCCTGATATTTGCAATTTTGCATTCCAAAGTAGTTCTTATTTATTGAACATACCAACGACTTCGTAGGTATTACCCACATGCGATACTTGTAGACATTATGATGCAAGAAAATTTTATAGAGAAAGTAAAGGCTTATGTTGTTCTGATGGAAAAGTTCATCTGTGTGTTCCTGGTTCACCCACTGAACTGTACAATTTATTCACGTCCAAAGAACCCTAAAATATAGAATTCAAAAAGATTGCAAGGGATATAATAACCATTTCGCTTTCACTTCATTCAGTGTTAAATACGACAAAAATCTATTCAAAGCATACAAAGGTATTTACACATTTAGAGTTCAAGAACTAGTACATCATTATGTAAATCAACTTGTTCCCGAAAACAATTCTCCTTCTTATATGCAATTATATTTTTACGAGACAGATAATGAATACACATTTAGAGTTCAAGGACAAATATATCATTATGTAAATGAACTTATCCCACAGGACAATAAGCCTTCTTATAAGCAGTTATATTTTTATGACAAGGATAATGAACTTCAAAATCATATGAAAATTTTAGAAAGCTTTATCCAATGTACTTTGATTGTTCTAATTAAAATTTTGAAAGTAAATCGGTATAGTAGATTCTTCATATCTTTAAGTGATATGCCTAACTTGCAAGACCATGAAATACACATAAGATGCGATTCAGGTCTTGATCAACGAGTCTTTAATACTCCTACAGTATCTCAAGTAGCCGCTGTATGGGTCGAAGACGATAAGAATGCTAATGTTCGCGTTCGTGACATTATTGTATATGGTCATTCTGATGATTCACATAGAGTTCATTATTATTACGGTTGCTATGATCTTTTGCAGTACCCATTACTTTTTCCATACGGGGAATCTGATTGGCATGAAGGCATTAGGAGATATTTTCAACCTCTTACTTAATTTGTTGTTTTTCCTGGGTCATTGACATCTGCATCTGAATTTATTGAACAAGAAAATGAAGGTTTGTATTCAAATTTTGGTCTACATTTCACTTATTTATACACTGTAAATGTTGTAAATGAATGATCAATTTCTTTTTTCAGTGCTTATTGGAACGAAGCACTGATCTCAGGTTTCTTGTCGAGAATATTATTCATACAAATTACAAATTAGGCATTCTAGTAAGTTCGTTTTGCTTCACAGTGGTATATTGCTTCAACAGTATGTTGTAGATATGTATGTTAAGAGTGAAACTGTAAGGTTGGATTTTATCGTAATAACCAGAAACAAATTCGAGTTGAACTTTACCAAAGTATTGTAAACAGTGTCCAAAATGGAGAGACAAGGGGTTGCAACATTGAGAGAAAATTTATTTTACCATAGTCCTTCACTTGTGAGCCTAGAGATATGCTAAGTACATATATGAATGCAATGACTATTGTACAGCACTATGGAAAATCAGATATATTTTTTGCTATTACATGAATCCAAATTGGTTAGAGATTAGGCAAGAACTAAAATACAATGATGAAATTCAAAATCGCCCAGACCTAACTGTACGTATATTTATAACAAAATTAGAAGAATTGAAAATGATTTATGTAAAAAAAATATCTTGGGCCATGTTGTTGCATATATATATGTTATCGAATTTCAGAAAAGATGTCTTCCTCATGCACATCTATTGTTGATTTTTAAATGTGGCCACAAAATTTGTTCTACTGTAGACGTTGATAAGATAGTCTGCTGTGAGATTCCTGACCAAAACAAAATTCTTATCTTCATTATGTTATTGTTAAACATAATATGCATGGTTCTTGTGGAGATTTGAATCCAAAAAGTGTATGTAGGGAGAATCAAATAAAAATTGGACAAATAAATTCCCTAGAGACTATTGTAATACTACTATATTCGGTGACAATTCATATCCTTTGTATAAATGTCGTAATGACAGTATTTTTATTAAAGTTAGAGGTCGTATGTTAGACAACCGATGGGTTGTACCGTACAATCCTTATTTGAGTGCAAAATTTAATTGTCACGTTAATGTTGAAGTATGTTTTTCTATTAAACGTGTAAAATATTTGTATAAATATGTGTATAAAGGTCATGATCATATTAATTTCTCAGTTGCACCAAATGAAGTAGTGAAAGAAATCGATGAAATTTTTGTTTATCAATCTGTTAGATGGATATCTCCACCTAAAACTATGTGGAGGATTTTTTCGTTCAACTTAGCAGAAATTCATCCAACTGTTTATATGTGGAGGATTTTCTCGTTTAATTTGGCGGTAATTTATCCAACTGTTTATTCTTTACAACTTCATTTTCTAAATCAACAAGTACAATATGACCAGGGAGATGATTTACTTACTATTATTGAGAACAAAAATTCAAGAAGAACAATGTTAAGAGAATTTTTTCAAGTAAATAAAGTAAATGAATTTGCTCGTACATTATTATATCGAGATTTCCCAACACATTTCGTTTGGAATTCATCTAAGAAGATTTGGACCCTCAGAAAGAAACATATTGTGATAGGCCGAATTGTCTCAACAAATCCATCTAAAGGAGAATGATATTTTCTACGCTTTCTTCTCAATCATATTAGAGGTCCAACACCATTTCATCATTTACGAACTTTAAATGGAGTAACTGTTAGTACATATCAAAAAGCATCATTGTTACATGGTTTGTTAAGCGAAGACAATTATTTTGAAAAATGTCTATCTGAAGCTATTGTTTATAAAATGCCGACTTCTTTGAGACGTCTGTTTGCTACACTTCTTATACTTTGCAATATCTGAAGCTATTGTTTATAAAATGTCGTTAAGACGTCTCGTCACTACGCTTCTTATATTCTGCAACCCTGATTATCCAAAGCTACTATGGAATAAATTTAAAGTTTATGACTAATGATTACGTACA